GACAGAACAGCTGTCAATGTTAAAAAGGGGGTGCGGGGATGAATCGTCACGTCCTAGAAGCAGACTATTATGTAGGTGGTGCAAGATTTCCTCCATCCACCGTAGCTCCTTAACATGGAATTAATAGGACCTTAATATACCTAAACTAGTCCCTTGTGGTACCCATTACTGGGTGGGGGATTGACCCAAGGCTTAGGGTTGAAATCACCAAAGTCCAAGTTGATTGTACAAAGTGCTGTGGGATGATTCTCCAGGTTGCGGACGACCTCCGCGGCGTGCTGATGCTTGGCAGAAGATACAATGTAAAGTAAAGCAGCATTTCATACTACGATACATTGCATATATCATATGAACCATGGTCTAAACTCCTATACTCACCTATATAACCCTTTAAGGAGTAAAGACTACGTATTTCATTGATTATATAGTATGCTATAAGCCAAGATTCGCAGGAACTCCACGAACTGTCAGGTCCTGGGTAATTTCTGCTCCCACGCATGGATATTACAGCATGAAGATGTGGGTTAAGGGTTCACTACAGTATGACGATATAGTTACATAAAGCCCCTAAAAGGATGATAGGGACTGTGGTGGTTACACTGGGATGGATTATCTAGAGACTGTTTTTTTGACATTAGTGGTTCTTTTTCTTTTTTTGGGGGGGAGGTCTCCATTATAAGGGTAACAGTATTTGGGTTCATATTGTGGGCCCCCTCTTGCTGGAAAGTACCGTAAACCTTAAATCCTAAACCTCAAAGCCTTTACATTACCCCTCTGATAGACTGTTCCTGGGTTGGGGCAGTACCCAGTTGTACGGTCTCAACCGTCTTAGAGCTACGTCATAGGAGCCATAGTCTAGAATCCTTAAAGGAGGACTACTATAGGGCTTATTAAAGGGGATACTAGGAGTTTAGAGTATAGTTCATATAACCCACTACATAACCCTACATATATATAGCAGTTTCCATATCATTTTCCATTTCTTTCCCAATTTGACTTTTTCATCATTAAGGGGGATACTTGGAGTTAAGACCGTATATAATCCCCGATATATATCCCTCTAAGGAGTTTAGACAAGAGTTCATAGAGCGACAGCCTACAGGGCCAGCAACTGCACCAAGCAGTGCGCACTCTGAAGCTCCGGCGGTTCGAACTCTAAGCGCTAAACCCTACTTGGACCCCAACAGTGGGTAAGATAAGAGCCCTAAACCCGTCAAAACAGCCCGAAGGGCCATGATTCTGCACACTTTTGGGGTTCAGATAAAGCCTACAAAAACGGCAGTGTAAACAGCTGAATTCCCAAAGTAATGTAGACCCGTGATCAATAAACCCTCTCCCCTTAATAGGGATTAGAATAGGGATCCTAATATTACGGCCTTTAAAAGGCTGGGGTTTACTAATCACGGGTCTGCCTAAACCCTAAACCCTACATTAACGACTTACTTGCTTCTAGTAAGGAATGAAGGAGCCTCTGTATATACTCCCCGATAATGAAGTACAGTTTCCGTTTGAGCCAGAATCTTAACTCCTTAAAGGGGCTATATAAGGGTGTATATAGGGGACTACTCTAGGGGATATTAAGGAGGATACTGGGAGTTTAGACTATGGCTCATTTCGTTGTTCATTCCTTCATTCCTTACTAGCATCCAGCGACCAAACCTTACTCCCTCATCACTATGTATCCCAAGAAACACCAAATCTCCACATAGTTGCCATCTTCCTTTCCATTTGATTCTCATAATTTCAATGTATCCCGAGGGCCCGAAGATATCTTCATAAACCCCTTACAGGCACCTGAGGTTCCGATCTCCTTTGCCACTTAATACTCCAGTAATTAATCCCCTCCCCCTAATATGAAACACCCCCCACCCAGCCTAACGTTAAATACTCCCATAATGTGGTATATTATGATATCTTGGGAGTACTTAATGTTCTGGGGGTTTACTATCAGCCCTCAACCCTAAACTCTATTATACTAACCCCTGTAAGCCCTACATATCCCTTCAAGGGTTGGGGGGGGTCAATTTAAACGCTAAAACCCTAAACCCCTAACCCCTAAACCCCTCAACCCCTATTCCCTTAAACCCCTAAACCCTAAACCCCTAAAGCCCTATTCCCCATTAAGAATGAGTCTCAGGCTGCTGTCCCTGGCCTTCATGGAGTCCTTGACCATCTATGGCTTGGTGATTGCCCTGGTACGGCCCTAAGCAACACGTAGATCTCTGTCTGATTGGTACTTTGAGCTTTGGTTTGTTTGGGCTTAGGGCTTAGGGGTTTAGGGTTGGGGTTTCGAGTTTAAAGGGTTTCGGGGCCAGTTGAGTTGCTCTACGGCTTGGTGGATGCCCCAGCGCCTTAAACGCTAAACCCTAAACCCTTAGCGTTGGAATGAAGCACGTAGGGTGGAGCTGCTACAGGCAGTCCGTACTGCAGGGACACATGTTGGTTGTTCCAAATACCTGTCACCAAAATGGCCGTGGGGTAGTTTCTCGTTTGGGTTAGGAACTCCGTTTACGGAGTGTTTTCCGATTGGTCCTTCCTTTCAAAGGACCACTGTTGAACAACACCAACATGCATCCAAACTTGCGGTACTATGCAAGGTCCACGGAATTAGGACACATGCCGGGATGGAGACAGGCTCCGCTGGCAGCAGCAGCAGCAGCAGCAGCAGCAGCAGCAGCAGCAACCAGCAACCAGCAGTGCCAGCAAGAGTAGCAGCAACGTCAGAGTATTATCAGAGTCTGCGATCGACCAATACAACAGCCAATATCCTTGATTACTGAAGCCTAAACCCTAAGCACTAATGTAGGTGCCCCTGCTGTTCCAGCAGCAGTCATGTTTTGAGAAACGAAGTCTGGTGTACTAACCGTGTAGAAGATATTCAGATTTCGGGGCATTTTATGCAATACTCTCGTCAGCTCTTGGTGTCAAGCACGTCCGATGATGCTGGAAGATCCTCTTGCCCGTGGCAGATGTACAAGTCGGAGGGGTTGAGAACAACTCTAATGCTGTCTGGTATTCTCAACCGGGCCCTTGCAGAAACGTTTCTTGACATTGGGAACAATACCAGTGACAGGGGGTATGTGTTTTCTAATCCCACGACTCGCTTGCTGGATAGAGAGAGAGATGACATGAACATGGACAGTGTTGCATTATTGGGGACCGTGAGCGCCCTCATACAGGGATCTGTTTTGGGTTGGGCCCCCACCACTAATAGTGGTATACTAGGAATATATAAGGATCCTAATATAATTAGCACTACCTCTTGTGGTCAGTATTAGTGGGTGGGGGCCCAGCCTAAGATCTATTGCCCTGTTCCAGCAAGAAGAATGACTGAGACAAGGTGCTGCTCTTCGCCAACCCGCTGATCAAGTGAGCGAGACCACCGCAATCTGGAGTAAGTTTTCCCACTGCTGCTGCTAGTCCCACTTCCTGTGTCTAAAGTACGACGTATACCATCGGTCATGCTACTGGCCCTGAGTGATGATAACAGAAGACAAGGAAGCAAGAGCTTGCGCTCAAAACGTCGGACGGCCTGGGCATGTTGAAATTTACAGATCATAAGGATGTCAGAATGCTCCAGCGTGTTGTGATGAGAGCCTGCGTTTTAAATGATCTGGCTGCGGGGCCCAAGATAAGCCCCAGATTGTCCCGACACATTGCTCTTGGCTGCAGCACTGCCAAGAGACATGGCTGGCATTTGGGCTTTGTAGGCTTGAGTGCTCGGAACAGAGATCATGAGTTTCAGGTCTGGATTTCGCGTAGCCGATGTGCTATTTTGCCCTCGAACTAGCTAAGGATGGCTCGCTCCCTCTTTTTGACCGGTGCTGTGCTCCTCTGCAGCGGCC